GAAAATATTCTTAGCTAGCACTGAATACATGTATTCTCTTTTAACTTAGTCACAGAACTGGCTGGGCGTAGCTCTGTGTGGCCTTTCTACCAACTTAAGTGACCTTGGTGTGCCTAGTGAGGCACTCTAACTTAATAATAACTAAGGCTCCCATCCTGCGAGCATTTATGCACATGAAAAGTCCCATTGAGTTTCAATGTGGCTGCTCACATGCCTAAAGTTATTTACATGCATCAGCAATGGGGAATAAGTGTGCAAATACTCCACTATGTGAGTCAGGAACCAGTTAACTGCATTTGAATTGTTCTATAATCAAAACAAACATAATAGTGTCCTGTAAATCTCTACAAAGGTGTTCTAAAAACTAGTGATGGAAAACACAGTAGTTATAGTTCAGGTTGAGATACGACAGACAGTTGGTGTCTTGTGACCATCTTTTATCCTATAGTTCACAGTCACCTCACTATTCTGTTCTGATTCCTCTGCCTGTTTCTTTCATCCACTTGTTATTTCTCATCTTATTCCTTGATTATAAACTCTTTTGGGCGGAGATCCTCTTTTTTTGCTTGTGTTTGTACAGTCATAGCACAGTAGGGTTGAGGGCTGTAGGTACTACTGAAATACCAACAAATAATAAGTATGCCTGTTCCACTCTAAGGCCCCAATCCTGCAAAGACAAAGGCCTGGTCTACACCTAAAAGTTAGGTCCACCTAACTACATTTCTCAGAGGTGTGAAAAATTCATGCCCTTGGGAGACATAGATAAGCCAACCTAAGCCCCAATGTAGACACCATTAGGTTGACAGAAGAACTCTTCCATCAACCTAGCAGGTGGATTCACTAATCCCTTCCATCATTGTAGTAAGTGTATATGCTGCAGAGAGCATAGCTGCAGCTGTGCCCCTGCTAGCACTTCTAGTGTAGACATACACTTAGGCATACCCTCAGTTTTTGCAAGACTGAGGCCCAAGTTAGTCTTTAATGACTTCCCTTAAAATTAGTTTTTGGGTGGAAAATGATGTTTGTTCTCAGCTTGGATGTGATCTTTTGGGAGGAAAAAATTGAAAGTTATTGAGCTGTTTCAAAAGCATGAGAAAAATGTGTTTTTTCTGCTTTAAAAAAATCAACTGTTTTGGTGCTCCAATAATTCAAAAAGGGATTTAGTGTGCTTCATAAGAAGCTGACTTAAAAGACTTTACTATTTGTGAAAGCAAAACCTACTTTCCCCTCCACAGAATCTGCAAGGAATGGCTATGGCAATCCTACTTTCCAACATGATGAAAAACCTGAGCAAAATGACGAGTTAAAAAAGAACAAGAAAAAGTAGGGGTTCCTTGATCTTAATACACTGTTAAATTTCTTGCCCTGCCTTTCAAGAAAGAGCCTGGATTAATTTTGCATTCATCTCTTTAGAAAGAAAAATGAGAAGTCAAAGGAAAAGATGGTTGGCATTTTGAAATTGGTTAGTGCATAGATTATTGGTTTGATTTTTATTTCTCATTGTTCCTTTTCTTTGCCTGTTGTACGTTATGGTAACAGACTAATGTGCAACCACAATACTGCATTTCGAAAGAGAGGAAAGAGGTCTGTGCAAAATTTAGTACTGCCACACAGCCATTTTTGTGTGTTGATCTCAGGCTTCCCTCTTTAAAAATATGGCCTGTTGTGCAAAGTTTCCCCACAGCTAACGGCCAGTGCTTGACGATGTTTCAGCACTAGCACCATGACGGAGTGAAATTCACCCATGTTAAGGACTGAAGTGAAGCATGTGCGGTAAGTAGGGCCTTGCCCTGGCTCTCTCAACTGGAGATAATTTTACCATTAGTGCATAATGTCTCATGAATTATCCAGGGAAACAAGTGCTGTGTTTTTCTTAAATGTGATAACTGCTACATATCCATTTCTATTGGTAGGCAGCAGCCAAATGTTTGTCAACTACCTGTTCTTGTTTACATTTTAAACGCACTGTGTAAATATGGGATGTAGTAGAATGCACACAGGGACGCAGTGAGTTGCACAGGTGATGTTATCACTTTCTGAAAAATGTAAAATACATTATTTTTTCTGCAAATTAGGGGATTCATCCTGCCAACATGTCCGAAGTCCCTCAATAAAAACTGGCCTAAAACTGTGTGTAAGCTTTTTCAAAGTGTATCCCAAGTGTTGTGTTTGCCTTCACATTATCTAATTCATTGCTTCATAAAGTGTTTTGGGATACCCAAATGGCGAATGGTGCTATGTACAAACAAATCCTATTCTGTGCGTCTTAGTCGGATATTGTCACAATTATGTGAATTTGTCAACCTTCAATTAATACCTTTTTCTTGATATTCATGTAGTTTGGGTATGCCGATTGGCTGGATATCATTTTGATGATAATAGGCTTGATTGCAGCTGTTGCAAATGGAACAGGGCTGCTACTTATTATCGTTGTCGTTGGAGAGATGACAAACCGCTTTGTGATGATTGGCCAAGCAGTAAATATGTCTTCAGGTAAATAAAGTTTGTTCAACTTCTGAAAATATTTGTTAGGGTCTCTTATTTACTGGATTGGCAGAGGTTCAGGATGGAGTGCTGCTGTGGTGTTAAAAGCCATAAAGAGCATAGTGAATTAAATAATATAATATTTGGAGATATACCTATCTCATAGAACTGGAAGGGACCCTGAAAGGTTATCGAGTCCAGCCCCTGCCTTCACTAGCAGTACCAAGTACTGATTTTGCCCCAGATCCTTGTCCCCTCAAGGAGTGAATTTACCACCTGGGTTTAACCACTGAGCTATCCCTCCCCCCAAATTCTAAGCAGTCCTTCCTTTTTACCTTGCTGTATAGTACAGTAGCAGTATAGACACTTGATAAATTACAGAGCAGTACATTTGGTAACTGTAAAACAATTTACTACTTTCTATAGCTTATAGTTAATCCATGGAATTCACTGTCCCAGGAGGTCACCAAATCAAGTTATGTGATTGGATTTTTAAAACAACAAAATAGGACCATTAATACTACTTTGCCTTTATAAGAGCTAAGCTTATGATAAGGGCAATCATAACTTACCCTAAAATATATGTGCTGACACCTAGAAGGGGTCTCCCATTTCTTTCAGGTCTGAACAGTTTTGCACCTTTGGTTAGGTGCATTATTAGTGAAATTTACCTTTTTGCAGACAGCCAGCAAAAGGCTGAGCCACCACTTGGACCCAACTTGGGCCCAGTTTTGAGTGGTGCATAAAAGTCAGACTTATGGTGTCTGTATGGATGAATTTTGCCTTGTGTCAGGTAGAAGGGGGAGTTATCAACTTCTGAAAAATCAGATATTGGTCACTGTTGGAATCAGACGGTCAGATCAGATGAAGCTATGATCTGACCAGTGCCCATTGATGTAGTGAGCTAAATCCGTGACATCACTCTACAGTAACCCTCTGAGCTGACTCAGAAGTTTGCCCTGTTTGATCCTCCACTGGAAGGATGATGGCCACCATGAAAATCTACAGAGCTGTTGCAGGGAGTGTAGTGTCATCCAAAACACTGATAAGATTATGGCCTAAACCCGCCATAATTTGTTTTATGCCTGTTCTAATAAAACTGAATGTTTTTCTGTGTTACAGTTAATCTTTCAGCTGTGATG